CACGGGGTTTGGATATTTTCGTCTTGTGCCAACATGTATTTGTGGAATTAATGGAAGGTTCATTGTTTAGATGTGCGATAACATCAAATGGCATTTTCTGTTAAATTGATGGGGGAGTATCTCCCTCATTATAGTATTCGGGCTTCCTAAAGCCAGCTCTTTGTATTCGAATGAAAACATTCACATTATTCATATTTCCAGTTTGTTACTGACCTTTTGTTAATCTAGGGCAGGGATCTCCAATTCCAGTCCTGGAGGACCAGTCTGTGACACAGTTTGCAGTTTTCCCTGTTCAAACACACCTTATTCAGCTCACCAGCTAATTGCCAGGTTTAGTAGGTGTGTTCAAGCAGGGATATCTGCAAACTGTGTCACAGACTGGCCCTCCAGGACTGGAATTGGGGATCCCTGATCTAGGGTCACCATCTGTTATTTCCGGCTCTCCTGTGGATGCACTTTACCGTACATCTCACATGGGTATGTGTCCTATCTAAGACCATCCTGAGTTGACTTGTAAGGCCATGCAGCTGTATCACACTGTCAATGCCTCCACTTGATCCTGCTGCCACGAACATGGCAGTATGTGTGCGTAACTTTATTTTCTGGAAAAGTGTTCAATCACTCAGTTAATTATACAGCATGATAATTACTGTATGCAAAACAGCGACGTGGGACTTTAAATAGGGCATTTACTTGCTCTAAAATGCTAACTGATCTCCAACCCTGTAAGTACAAAGACCTCATGCAGCAAAGCCCGGCCCGCTCTGCTATCTGTCTTGGCTTGAAATCAGCCCAGCTGAGCAGAATCACAATCTTGCTCCGTTGGTTACAGGTGTCTGCTTGCAGGTAGCGGAGCCTCTTTGATTCGGGCGGATATGTTTAGTTATCTCTTGCTGCTTCTAACTTTGTTGTTTAGCCTTTTTCGCGTTGCTTCTGCTAGTTGGCTCCGTCGCCCCACCCTTGCTGCAGACCTCTGCCCCCCGACCTGCCACACGCGGCAGCGGCTTGTGTACGGCTCTGTCCGCACTCTGCTAAAAAATTAATAACTCATTAATAATTCACTCTGACTGAATATGATTTACTGGGTGATATGCACACTTAAGCTCCTGCTACTAATGTACTGAAAGTAAAAACTAACTCTTCTAAACTCCGAGGGGTAGAAAAATGAACTTTTGAGCAGCTTACCAGGCTGAATTGGGAACTTTTTCAAGAGGACTTAAAAAGCTATCCTTAAACAAAAATCCCCCAACATCTTCCTGAATTCTATTTATACTTGCTAATTTGTTGAAATGTAAAAGATCTCTCCCTTTAATTTTTAGCCAAGCACACTTTTCAAAGGTGTATAGCTATAGTGATTTCCCTGGCAGCTCATCAGGTAAGACAATAGTCATTCACTGTCAGCTGTACCAGCAATACAGGGGAAAACTATTTTTCACATTTCTTTCACATGTTTTCTACAATAAGATTGTACAGGAGGTGGGTCAAACAACCAGAGGAGGTGGGACCAACCAATGAGATGTCTTGGTCCAGCCTCTTCTAGTTGCTTGGACCCACCTCTTCTACAATATGATTGGCTATTTCCCTCAACCAATCATTTTTTATTCTGCCCTCAGGACAGTTTTGTGTAAGAACCACCCATGAGTATGTTTTGAAATTACCAACATAACAAATGTCCTTTTAGGAGAAATACTGCAAGAAAAAATCTAATTGTTTAATATCCCAGAACAACAGCAGAGAATTCCTGGGGTAGACAGCTAAAAGGCGTTTGACCACTGATATCAGAAATGACAACAGTGCAAACTCACATAGAGAAATTTCCAGAAGAAAAGGCACGGGCCTAAAAGAACATCACCAGACTGCAAGTTGACTGGCTGGATATAAACATGGTTTGGTCTTGGCCTGCTAACACGGTTGTGCCGATACAGCTACAAGATATTCCTCTTCTCAGCCAGCTACTTACTGCATTGTGAACCATGAATGAAATCCAGATATAAAGCTGGTAGGTGGAGAACTCATATGATAAGTAAAACATCATGGCTGGTTGGGACACCTGGTAGCTATTACATATCGGCGAGTATCGATTTCCATAAATAATGATTCCTGTCACCGCAGGAGTCTGGCTGACAAACATTCCACTACTATTTATTGCAGGTGAAGAAAGCGACTTTCAATACAATGTCATCCTAGATCATCACACAAAAAGCAAGTGGGCACCCCTCAGATTTAATGATGCCCCGACTAAAAAAAATAAATAAATCAACATCAAGACCTTAGCAGCTAAGCTAAGTAGTCTTCAGAAGTGGTTTGCTTGAGGTAGTTTGCAGGTCCAAACAAAGTACACAGAAGACCAGGCTAGGCTGAGGTTCTGTTTCACCATGTATCCTCTATGTCTACATCTGTCTGACAGAGCAAGTAGGGAAAAGACAGCGGCACCTACTGTACTTCTCTCCTGTAGATTTGCAGCCAGTCTGGCTTGTTAAGAATGACAATTGCAGACAGAGGAAAAGGCAGAGCTGGTGGACTTTAAGACAAAGCGTGGGTCTGAGGACACAGATGAGACAGCTGAACAAGCCGGCCCAAGTTTCTGCAACGGACCTCTCATGGGCTTTGGGTTTGGCATACTGTTTGGTTCGGGATCTACCCCAAATGGTATTGCCACAGGTTCAAGCCACTCCTGCCTCTCTACAACTTGCATTTCTGCGTTTATGTCCCTCACAGCACACACATTCCCAGGTGAGAATGGCGGGTGCATGCAGGCCTATCAATAAGTGACGTGCGGAATGCATCTTTATGAAGTTAGGCCTTGGTAGAGCAGTCACACATGCGCAGTGAGCAGGGAAGATCTGAGAGAGACAACTTCTCACACAGGAATTGAGGTCACGTTCGGACTTTGAGTCCAAACCACGTCTTACCTCTGACACTGTGACCTCCCTCTGGATGCCAGAGCGCTGAAGATGATTTGTGTGTGGTCTCTGCATGGGGCTACTGTCCGCCATCAGTGATGCTCTCTCAGTCTCAGTCGGGGTCTTAATTAGCTGCCTGCTTCTCTCTGTAAACCGTTCTGTGCATTTATAACAAGGCAGACTTCCACATTTTTATCTCCCGTTGGCAACCATGCCTGATAAAATGGTCCCATTACTCTATTGAAAATTATATCTGGAAAGTATGTACCAGGTACTTTTTTGCTCATGGGTGGTTCCTGTCTCATTTTGTACTTCTGTTTTATGTCCCAAAAGAGATGTAAAGAGATGCCTTTCACACCACGGTGCTCATCACTGCCATCTGCTGGAGAGACGAGGCATAAGGGCTCCACCCCAGAAGAAAGACCTGGCAATGTGAAGCAGGATCACACACTGAGCAACAGAGGCACTATTTCATGACCGGTGCTGGTCCAAAGCCATCCAATTAGCCAGACGGTTGGCCCGTGCTGGGTGCTCACCTCCGGTCAAGTGACTTGCGTACTGGGCGAGGCACACAAGTCTATGTTCCGTCCCTGGCCCTCATCACGGACCACAGAGCTGACGTTCAAAACAAAGTTCAGCAGAAAAGACTCTCAAAGTATGCTACGCAGGGCGGGGGTGGAGGGGGTCTCAGTTACGGTTTGAAAAGGCTAATGTCATGTTTGTACAGAACCCCGGCCCAAACCAACAACCTTTGACCAGATCCACATGGAACAGAATGATGATAATAATGCAATAATGCAAGGGAGATTTTGGCTGTAGAGAAGAAGGAATGTGAATTGCTGCCGATATACCTTCCTTTCGCTTAGGGTTCCTGAGCACGGAGCCTCAGCCAAGCCGTGGGGAGCTTGTTACAAATGCAAATAAATAAATAAATAAACAAATAAACAAACGCACAAACAGCATGGCCTTTATCTCATCAGGAAACTTCGATCCAGGCAGTTGACCATGCGGGAAGGTGAATGGAGGGAAAAGGAGCAATTTGCTGGCCAAGAACTTGTGGGAATGTGGCGGCGTCCTGCTGTACCTCACACCGCCGCATTTACAGACCCGTTAATGGCCTCCACGCTTTTACTCCTCCCTGAAAATGTGTCTCAGTGTCTCTGTGTCACACATCGATCAATAGCTCAATATATTGATTGTGACGAACCCCGACTGCATTCAAAGTGCCACCTCCTCTCAAGCCTCAAAGCACTGTCATTAAGGGGCCCTGTAAATGCACGGGTTTACCCTGGCTGAAGCACAGGGGCGTCCACTAAAACGGGACCTCAACTAATATTGTCTAATACAATTTTTAATCTAGGGTTGCCACCTGTCTCATTTTATACCCCGTAGTGAAAAATAAAATGCTGTGTACCAGACACAATTTGTACCATATTTTTATGAATACAATCATAAAATGCAATTTAATCTGGACCGACCCCCCCCCCCCCCCCCCCCCCCCCAGCCCCACATGGCTAATTCGAAGGATGCTAACTTCGCCCCAGTCCACAGTCGCCACCACCCCCACCCCCCCACCCCCCATTCTCCTCAGTTGACAACTACACCATCATAGAATACACAGTAGGTGGCCTCTGACACAAGTCGCCCAGCGGCCTCTGACTTTGTAAACGCGCCTGTCACCAAAAGCATCTCTCCACCGATTTTTCTCAACAAATCTCGACCAGTGTCCACTTATCCAGAAGGTCCTGTTCTTCTGTTTTGTTGTGGCACCAGTGACGGTTAAACATTGTTTATGTCTCCAGTCTTGATATTCCTTTAACATCCCAAACCTTTTCCTTCCTGGTGCACACACATATATTTAGCTACTGCCCTCCAAAGGTTTTCATTTTATTGTATATGGGAATTGGGAGGGGCACAATTTTGAGTAGGGGGTGATTTCGAATATTACAAGCCTCAGGAGAGCCCCCCCATCCTGGTGATTTGACGCTCATAAATGCCCCCTCCTTTCCTCCACAATGGGTGCTAATGGCGCGCAATGTATCTTACGCGCGTCAGGGAGACGCTGCTGGCCCTTTAAATCTCCTTTATTATCCAGGAGCCAGCAGCTGCTCGTAAAAAAGAGCAAGCGAGAGAAAAAGCACGCAGCCCCCCTTAAAAGCACATACGTGCACACACATGCAAATCTGCACAGACCCAGAAGGGACGCACCGCTTTGGATCTTACACCTGCTGGAAGCGAGTGGGAGGGGGCGGCGGACAACTTTGTTCCCCGGGATCAGCCCGGATCACTGTGCCAGACGATGCCTTACTGTCCACTTTCACAAACTGCTCCGAGGATTTGCTAATCGCTCATATTTGTTTCCCCCGCACATCTTTTTTCCATCAGGCTGAGTCTGAAGCAGATGATGTTCTCACAAGTTCTAAGGATTTCATACGTCTCGATCTGCTTTTTTCAATGCATCTTCATCAGGTGAGTTGAAACCTTGCGTGCGACCTACCGTATGTTCGGAAATGCAACATTACTTTGTATTAATAAGGCACCGGGGTGAACCGATGTACTGTGTAATGCAATGCTGTGAAATCATTACCGCTCCCCAACTCTGTGACGCGCGGCGCAGGGATGCAAAAGTTGGCCGAAAATTATTTGTTTTACGAGAGTTTGGCTGAAATGCAGCGCAAATTACCTGGGCGTGTTGGCTGGAAGGGGGCTGGGGGCGGCGAAGGCGGCGGCCCCGTGCAGATCTTGGACCGTGGTACCCAGATGGATGAACCCTTTGGCACATTGACACCCACATCCACACACCGGGTCTTTGACGAAGAACAATGGCGGGGAAACGGTTTCAGAAAGATTGGCTGGTCTTGAGGTCTCCCTTGGGATTTAGCAGGAATCTGAGTCCGAATCAGAATCATTTTATTCGCCATGCACAAAAAGTAAAAGGAATTTCTTTTGGTGACAGGACAAAACGCTCAAATCAATAAGTAGAATAAAAATGAAATAGATGAAGAACAATCTGATCATGCTATTATTAAATAGGCCTAAATAAATACGATATGTATACGTATAAATAAATATGAGACATTCCGATGTAGGGTAAAACTGTTTTAAGAAAAGAAAAGGTGTAAAGTAAGGGGAATGCTGTGTAACCAGTGCAAGGTGTTTGCCAATTAATTATGCGAGGGCAGAAAGGCAGCTTTAGCGCTGGTGATGGCATGGAAGACGTGTTACACGTTAAAGTTAAAGCGTTTCAGAGTTTAAATCGGGATCGCTGTATGGCGCTGGCGGTGTCGGGGATGAAAGCTTTTAAAATAACATCCCAGGAATTAACTTTGGACATGCCTGCTTCCCGGTGATATCTAATATTATTATAATAAGTTAAACTGTCGGTGATTCATTGTCCACGTACGTGTAAGTCGATCGTCCGACTGCATATATAAAGAAACAGCGTCTGAAAACAGCAGATTTGGACTTTGTGGTTAATTTTTCAAATCCAAGAATGAAACAACAATGAATATACTTGTTTAATGTGTAGCCAGATGATAAACTGTGTGTTATGTGTGTCAAGTGTCATCTTAGGAAGGCTCGTATGTGAAATGAATAACCGTTACTGTGGCAGTGGTCTATTAAAGAGATTGTAATCAAATTAATTAATATTGTAATTAGAAGGAGCTTTCCTTCAAATAACAACCACCCAGGCAAGGAACCGAAAATCCACAATTATCTTCCAGCTAACACAGTCACTAAGAGAAGGTTTTCAGCGTTTTTACAGGCTATTATATTTTATAGCAACACACACGTTATCATCTATCCATTGAAAATACTCGCCACAACATAAAAATACTAGCTACAATTTATGTTTATTTGGTTACTTTGCATCTGTCCAGAGTAGCTGTGTATTTTAACTAGCAATACAAGATTAAATATAATACTCGATACTACAACGGGGGCCTGCCAGGGATTTCAACGGAATTCCTCAGGGAATCAGTCCAAGCTCCTAATCACTACGCCACCTGCTGTTCAGCTGTTTGTTTTTAAATAGTTTAATACGGAATTGCTGTGATTGTATTTTTGGTCGATGGTAGGGATAGGGAATACACCAGACTGTGCAGGAGGTGTGTAAAAAGCAGTCCCTCTCTGTTTAGCAGCAGGTAGCGTGGGGGACACTCGCTCTATTTCATGGCCTGTCGACTCCAGGTGTGAAAGGCACGGAATTAGTATCTCAGTAATCCCGGAGCTGGTCAGCAGCACAGACAGGGTACTAGAGGAGTGCAGGTAGTAGCGTGTGCTTTCAGCCTGGGGTGGGGGAAGGGGGAGGAGGCCAGAGGGGTAGATATACTGCGGAGTCTGTATATATATGTATGTGTGTGTGTGGGAACAGTAATAAGATTGGCCCTAGATCCAGCCCCCCCTCCACACCCCTGATATAGTTCTCTTTGTCTGGGAAAGTGAATAGTTCCTTTACTAAATAAATGCTATAGGGAGACATGAAAACAGAGGTGTTTGTGGAGGGGGGGTGACTGAGCTGTGAGGGGATGAAGAGCTCTGAATGGAACCCGAGACCTGCTTATCGCACGCATTCCAGTTATCGCACTGCACAGGCAGGGGTGGGGGGGAGATGCTGCATCGGGGGGTGGCTGGATGGTAACACAGGCGAGGTGTCGGGGGGGGTGGTTGTGGCGTCTGTCACACATTCTGCTGTCTGTCACACACACTGTTCAGCAACTTGTTTTACCCTAAACAGTGTTTGTCACTGTGAGCTGCCCCCCCCCCCCCCCCACATCTGCCAAAGGTAAAACTGCTGTTTCCCTTCGGGTGTCAAGTCCAGTCCTTTAACCAACAGACCATAGAAGAATAGAATCTGCATTAAATGAAGAAAAAGCACTAATATGAAAGTGATTCTTTTAATTTTAAGACTGTCATTGAGATTAATTAGTACAGAAACAACAAACTCTATAAAATACCATTTACAGCCATGCGTGTCTATGAGCCATCAAAGGTACGTCCCCAGCTGGTGCGTGGGTCATGCCAAGCACAGACAACACTGGAACAGATCCATCTGCAGCCTTGGGGCAGGCTCGCGGCGGGAATCTCAGTCTGCCATCGCCATTGCAGCATCAAATAATGCATTCATGGGGAGCACTTTGGTGGCAAATGAACAAATCTGTCAGAATGGCACTTCGGAGCATGAGGAATCCCAGGGGGATGGAGGGAAAGTTAGCGCAAATGACATTGTGACTTTCAGCAATTAAGATAACAACACTCTCTAAATGTGGTTTCAATTCACCTGAATGAGATACAGTCTTCAGCTTCTTCTATCTAGTCGTTCTTAGATTTCTACCCAGAACAACAGCTGGATGGGCGGGTACAAACTGGGAATGAGTGACAGGGGACTGCTGTGAGTCAGGAGGAGTTAGAATTAGTCATCATCAGGCTTACTCCCTGCTCCTACATGACGATTTCTAGTAAGGACAGCAATTATAAACAATTTGCACTCTTTCAGTTCAATTATGAAGCACTGAAGCTGGTATCCAGTGCAGAACGTATCGAAGTTATGTTAACGAAACTGCTACTAAGTTTTGTTGTACGTGAGTATCCCACTTGCACAATGACAAATTAAAATCCTTGATCACTAATCTTCAGCCCACCACAGTCATATGGACGTAGGTTTGTGCCAGCCTTCACAAATGCCCTGTGGAACACCAGCAGATGTACTGTGAAGAGTGTAGTTTTTGAGGACATGAAGACTGCGAATAAATGGTGTGGGTGAGTGGGCCAGTTAAGGGCTGTGCACGGCTGATGCTCTCAAACAGGTCTGCCATGCTTATTCACCCCATGCTCCACAGCCATACCTTGTTCCACTTGTCTTACCTCGTTTTCATCAATGCAGAAGTAATGACCAATTCATCACAGCCTGCGGGTGTCAATTACTCAAGTGAGGCTGTGGAAACATGGAAAAAAAAAACAGATCCCGGTTCGAGGTGTTTACGAAGCTATGAGCAAATAATGTTCCCTCCGGCACCAGCTCTTCCATATACCACCTGTGTCTGCTTCCCGGCCAACTCACTAGGCACTGGTTTCCACGATGCCCTACAGCCTGGTTCCAGCAGGAACATGGAGATCTGCAAGGACCCGGAAGCTGTTTGTCTTAATTAATGGGAGATTCTTCTTCATGGAAAGCCACAGGAGAGTGTATAAACTGAATAGATAACAGAATGTGGCAGAACCTCAATATAGGTTGTTTTTTTTGGTTAATAACTTTGATTTGCGGTCCTGGCATGATGAGACTGAGGTCCAAATGAGGTTCTGAATTGGCCTGCAGAGAAATTATTCATTGTCTTTGTACTGGGCGCTCGGAGCCGCCGAATGATAAGAGCATTATGTGAAGCCAGCATGGATGAGCAAGGCGTCGAGCTCTTAATCGCCGTGTGACACACTCCCTAATGACCAGGGAAGCACGCATGAGGAGCTGTCCGCCCCGCCAAATGGCACCAGGCCGCTCCGGTTCCCCACAGCCTTCCCTGGTGTGCAGGAACATCACTACCGTTGACGAAAACCATAGCAAGCTAGAGGAAATTTGATTTGGGGGAGGGGTATCAAGTGAATGAAGTTTGCATTCCCCCATAAGCAAGTCCCTCCTGTCAACAATATTCAGTGGTACCTCGGTTCTCGAACTCACTAGAACTCGAATTTCTTGAAAGTTTAACAAACCAGTTTGACCTAGAACTCGATCTGAATATCAGAAGTCGAACCGTGAACGCTGACCTAATATAAATTGTAAGCGCCAGGAAATGTCATACTACAATGCAATTCTTACTTGAATGCCTTCTTCACAGACTGGATGATTAACCAAATAAAGCAGCGCAACATTACAGTAACTAACAATAAATAAACCACTAACTTATGTGTACTATTAGAGCATTTATGTCATTTATTTAAACTTTATTTTACCAGGTAAATTAACTGAAAACCAGTTCTCACTGCTTTGCGTGATATTCAGGAGAAATCGCAGATTACGCATCGAAACTGCCTGGGATACAAACGTCATGCGTGTAACTAAACTCTTCAGCCAATAAGGGCAAAGGTGTGTCGTCACGGAGGCGGTTCCAGTTTGTGCAGCCGGGTGAGAGGTCGCAATGCATCTAAGCGTAATGCATTGCGTCAGGGACAGAATGCGTTGCTTTAAGCCAGCGCTATAAGCAAGTCGAACGCACCCAATGACCGGACTAGGGAAACAAACTGAAACGTGGACTTAATACAGAGGACTAATGACAACAACCAGAAACAGCTGATTACATGGGGATCCCACACGAGGTTAACGAGGGGGCGTGGCACACGGAAGGAGCGGACGATCGGGGCAGGACAGGGGTAATGTTGGGATAAGAACTTAATCGTTTTGGAAGCCATTAAGAAAAAAATGCTGCTCTTGTTTTATCCTGTTCATTTTGTGTTTAAATGCTAAAAAAAAAAAAAACATATTTAGGTGTAATTTTGGGGGGCCGGGAACCAATTAATTGGTTTTCCATTATTTCTTATGGGAAAAATTCGATCAGAACTCGAACTTTTTAGGATTCGATCCGGAGTACGGAACGGATTAAGTTCGAGAACCGAGGTACCACTGTATGTCCCAAGAGAACTGCAGCTACGGCAGCTGCAGGTTGGGGTGGGGGCATTCAGTGGCAGACTGCAACAAGCAAATATTGATCCATGGAACTGCTGAGAGCCTTTGGTATAGTCTGCAACAATTAGGGATGTGAAACAAACTAATCAAAAATCTATGAAACAATGTGATGGGGGGGGGGTGACAGTTGTCC